TATTTCAGTAAAATTTTGGGGGCATTTTTTTCCGAAATAGGGATTATTCATCACAGCTCTTGTATAGATACTCCACAGCAAAATGGAGTGGCAGAACGAAAAAATAAGTATCTCCTAGAAGTTGCTAGGTCCTTAATGTTTACAACTAAGGGTCCTAAATACCTATGGGGTGAAGCCATTCTCACTGCCACCTATTTAATTAATAGAATGCCTTCAAGAGTTTTAAACTTTAAAGCACCTTTGGGAAAGTTTAAAGAAATCTTCCCTACATCACGAATCGTTTCTGATTTACCTCTTAAAATATTCGGATGTGTGGCCTTTGTACATGTACATAATCATAATCGTGATAAATTGGATCCACGTGCATTAAAGTGTGTTTTTCTTGGTTATGCACCAACACAAAAAGGTTACCGCTGTTTTGATCCTAAAACTAAAAAATTTTGTCACTATGGATGTAACATTTTTTGAATCCCAGAGTTTCTTTAATGTTCCTCTTCAAGGGGAGAATACCTTTGAAGACTCACTGTTTGAAATTGAAAATGACAGCAATATTATTAAAAATGACAACATCACTGTTACAATTAAACAGCCTGCCCTAGTGCCTAGCAATGAAGTTGTTACTACTAGAATAGACAATGACAAAAGGGATAAATTATTTGGGCTTGTGTACTCGAGAAACAGAAAAATCCTATCTTTCTACAACTTTTTACCAACAAAGTACCAAAATATCTTTGGGGTGAGGCGGTTCTTACCGTTACATATCTTATAAATAGGATGCCTAATAAAGTTTTGAACTTTAAAACACCTCTTGATATCTTTCACAGCTTTTACCCAACAAATAGGCTATCCTCTTCTCTACCCTTCAAGATATTTGGATGTACTACATTCGTTCATATTCATGATCATAATCGTGGGAAGCTTGAGCCCCGAGCGACAAAATGTGTGTTTGTTGGTTATGCTCCTACTCAAAAGGGGTATAAATGTTTTGAACCTATTTCCAGAAAAATGTTTGTTACCATGGATGTTACTTTTTTTGAATTGCAACCATATTACATGTCTCATCTTGAGGGGGCGAGTCAAATCCAAGATTCAACCTACTATGATATCTTTCAAACAGAAAATACTCTTCCCACTTTGCCCATTCATGAAACTCTAGAAAATCCAAATGAAAATGTTCAATATCTAGACCTCTAAATAAGTAAGGAAACAGAATTTTGATAATCCTAAACGATGGGTGGCCAAGTCGGCGGTGGTGAAGCCAAAATTTTCCTTTATTTGATGAGAGAACTTCTGAGACAAAAGAGTGAGATGTTGTGCCCGTGGTAATGCTTGATTGATTAGGTGTTTCAAGAAGGTAAAGTCCACCATGTTCTCTAGCACGTCCAATCGTCCTCCCCAAACCCTCGTCCTGAAATAAACAATAACTACGGTGAAAAAACACTCTGCAATGTGAATCTTTGGTAAGCTTTTGGACCGAGACAAGGTTTGTGGTCAATCGAGGAACGTGAAGAACATTTTTTAATGTCAATGACAGGCTTATTTTAACATCTCCTATGCCTGCTACAATAGTTAATGATCCATCTGCTGTAGTTATTTTTCTACTGCTTGAACATGGGACATATGAGGCAAACATGTTTGGTGAGTGGGTCATATGGTCGGTAGCACCAGAGTCAATGACCTAGGAGCCGGTAAGGGTTATATCTGAGACATTTAATCCAATGGAAAATGAAGACTCACCTGAATACGCCAATGAACAAGTACCTAAGGGTTTGTCAAGATTGCCTATAAGGGATCTTACTCGTTCAATTTCCTCTTGGTTGAGACTCCCCATCTCTTGCAGTGTTCCCTCACTTTGCTACCCCCCTGCAACATGAGCTTGTCCACAACTCTTCGGCTGCTCTCCTTTCTGCCCCCACTCAGCTTGGTGGTTTCCCATGCAGCTTCCAACACTTCTTACGAGTATGGCGTGCCTTCTTGCAATAAGTACACCATAAAGTATCTTTGTAGTCTCGGTTTTGGGTCTTCTGCTGACCAGCCTTAACATTCTTAGGTGACGGTGCCTTTTCTGCAGTCATGGCTAGTTTGCTACCGCCACTAGCCAACATTGCCGAGCCATCAGTGTTCTTTGGTTCAAGCATTATTTCTCTTCTACTCTCATCTCCCCGAATGATTGCTACCACCTCATTCAAACATGGGACCTCTTGCTTTCCAAGAATTTGAATTCTCACCAAGTCAAACTCCGGGTTGAGTCCAACAAGAAAATCATAGACTCTATCTTGCTCAATAAAGGCCTTGATAACTGCAGCATCTTCGGGACACTTGGTTTTAATCACCCTATAATGATCGAGTTCTTGCCATAGGGCCTTCATTTGATTCGCATATTCAGTGACCGTTCTTTCTCCTTGTCTCGCCGCCATTGTCTTCACTTTAACCTCATAAACTTGAGCCACATCTCTTGCCTTGGAGTATGTTTGTTGAATTGCATCCCATATATCTTTGGCGGTTGCCAAAAACATACTCGTATCACTGATTTCTGGGTTCATAGAGTTCCACAGCCATACCATAATCATGGAATCCTCCTCATCCCATGCCTCAAACTTGGGATCCTCCGGTTTTGGTCCAGTCCATAAAAGATGGTTGATTTTTCCTTTTCCTTTTAGCACTGTCCGAACCAATTGTGACCACTTAAGGTAGTTTTTCACATTCAGCCTATAAGCAGCCTGTATATTCTGCAGTTCTCCAACCTGCTGAGACCGTCCATTCTCTGTCTCATCCAGCGACGTTGCAACGGTTGTTTCTGCCACCTCCGACATCTTCCAGAGCAGTTTTGAGGGCAATTAAGGCCGGTCCTACACTGAAGACTCCACCAGCGATAAAGGCTGATTTGATTGGAACAATTTCTGGCAGCAACCGTGATAATTGACAACAACCTTTCCTTAGGACAGCGACTTGATAACTCCGGCGATGAAGGCCGAACAAGAAAGCGATTCCAGCGATGAAGGCCGAACAAGGAAACAACCCCGGCGATGAAGGCCGAACAAGGAAACAACCCCGGCGATGAAGGCCAAAACAGAAATCGACAGTAGCAAACAGAAGCAACGGGCAGTTTTTCCGTACAATTCAATACAATTCTGTAGTTTTCCGTACAATTCCGTACAGTTCCGTGCAATTCCGTGCAATTCCGTACAGTCCGTAATGGATATGGGCAATGAAGGCCCTGTGATGAGGCTTGGCAATGAAAGCCAAGAAAGAAACAGCAATGAAGGCCTAAGAGAAAAAAACTTAACCTAGGAAACCTAGGGCTCTGATACCATGTGGGCAAATAGGAGTAGAAAAAATATTTCTTATTTTCTGAATGATGTAATACAGCCGGCCCTCTTAGGTTTTTATACACAAAATATAGAATCTCCTAGATTACACCTTATCCCATTATTCATGAGATATCATGAAACTAACTTATTACCCTAATCCTAGGGATACAAAATATAAAATTCAAACTTTCCTAATATATCCTAGTTACAAAATCAATAAGATTGCGTTTTCCACAATATCAATGTTGTGTCAGCCAAATTTATCAACCATTGGAATCTTCAAATTGAGCCTCATCCTAAATCGTTTTGGGTGTATTGGGAAGATAAAGGTTATTTTGCAGTCGCTGAAAGATGTCTATTACCTCTTAAATTTAGTTCTTATGAGTTATATGTTTATTGTGATGTCCTTTCTATGGATGTTACTCATACTTTATTAGGACTTCCTTGGGTTGATGATCATGATGTGAGATATGCTGAAGGGAATCAATATGTTTTTCGACATAATGGGAAAACTTTGATCTTGAAACCTGCCAAACCAAAAGAAAAAGCCTGTGTGTCTAAGCCTATTCTCCCTTCCCCAATTCCTAGTGTACCAAACCCATCTATTGAGAGTGACGATGCCAAAAACGAGGTTGTGACAACAAACAAAATTATTGATACTCCTTGTCCTGAGCCTATTGTTGATGAGCCACACCTCCTCCAAAAACCATTAAATCCAATTCCTCCCAATCAGTTGTTGGAAGTGGATCTCATGCATGTTCATTTAAATTTACTTCTAATTTGATTGTGGAATTAATTTTCAGTGAGGTAAAATTGTTTCCTAACTATGATGATCAAAAGCCTCGAGTGTTCTTGATATTTTCTCTACAGCTAGAATGTCTCCACGATCAACTTACAAGCACCAATGGCTCATTTTAGAATCTAGTATTAAGGCCGAGAGATTTCTTGGTTTTTAAATTGTTGCTTCATGATTCTTTCCAGTTTAAAATTCGCCGGAGTCGTGTTTCTTCAGCCCAGGGAGAATGATGACGAATTATATTAGGATTATTTAATATTTAATTTTGATTTTAGGATTATGTTTATCTTTTTATTAGTTTAAATTTATTTATATTTATCTCCTTTTTAAAATAGGATTAAGATTTTCTTTATCTATAAATAGCTTAGTAATTGTAATTCTTATTTAGGCTTTTGATGATTAATGATATTGAGATTATTGGTTTCCTTCCTCTTGAGTTCTTGTTCTCCCTAGATTTCTGTCTCCATCTTGATTATTTTTCTCTATCCTGATTCTATTTCTTTCTCTTGATTCTATACTTCTATCTAAATTCTCCTTTTGTTCAATTCTACCCAGTCCTACATCACTTGGGATCAAGTGAGATCAAAGTCAGCTTTCAAATCAAGAGTTTCTCCAGCTTAAACATGCAGCAGACACGGAGTATAGAAAATTTCAATTACAAGTTACAAAAACGCTAAGTTTGTTCATAATTTCCCGGGAATATCGCCTTTAAAGCTCACCAGCAAACGTAAAACCCCACAGCAATAGCAGTACACGAGACTTATTGATAAACGAATTTCATGTATGAGTTTTCTTTACATAACAAAACTTCATAGGTCTCAAAAACATTTAGCTCGTCCTAAAGCCTCAAACAGAACAATCCAGGTGTTAATTTTCTGGGAAAAATTGAATACCTTATTAACCACCACCATCATTATCACTGTCCTCTTTGAGATTCCCGAACTTTTGCTTGAACGAGTCCTGTTTCTGCATCCACATCATGTGCCCCTGAAAACCCAGATTTTTTTCTTCTCAAATTTCAACTTCAGCCCACTAGTTGACTACTAAAAGCAAAGTGTTTTCAGATCTCAGAAACTCAATCGGACTGTTAGTTTTGTCTCTGTCAGGTAAGAAAAGGAGAGAGAGAGAGAGAGAGAGAGAGAAGATTGAACCTGGAGAGAGGCAGCCCAGGCAATGAGGAGGGAGGCGAACCAGAACTTTTTGTCCTTAAGTAGATCCCTCACTTCCATAATTTCTTCCCAAATCCTATAAATCACTCGCTGCTCGCTATAACTACTTCTGAGTTCTGCGCCGCCCCGTTTTCTTTTTGGTTGCTAAGCTCGAAGAAGAAAAGATTGGTTGGTTCTGCTTACGAAACGACGTCTCGTTTGGTTCTTTTTTAATGAATTCTTTCGTTTGATGTCAACATTTCTTTTTTTTTTTTTTTTTCTTGAAAGCTGATGTCAAAATTTAAAATCTTAGTAGTAGAGTTTAAGGAGACGTTTGATTTATGGATTAAAATTATAAGATTAGAATTATTTTTAATTTATGTGTATTTTTTATGAGAAAAAATACTATAACGAATCATGAACCATAATTTGAATCGGGGTACGAATCTCTGAACCAAACAACCCTTAAATGTAGCAACATTTTTAAAATAAAAGTAGTAAAATTTTGATGTCACTAAAATAATGATTATATCATTAAACAATATAAAATGTGGCATTATTATAATAATGACTGTGATTTTTACTATATTTATAATATTTTGAAAATTTTGTTAAATTTTAATTAACATATAAAATTTTGTCATGTGATGTAATACCAACTGCGAACTTCATTTGAGTTTCCTATGCTCAAGTATAGGTTCTACTAAAAACTTCAAACTAATTGGTAATTTGTGTTATTTTTCTTTTTCTTATGCAAATTATAATATTACGTGAATTAATTTTAAAAAACGGAGGTAAAATAGAATGCACATAATTATTCTTCTCTGCTAATTACATTAAAAATATAACTCTTACTTTTAAGTTTTTCGAAATGTATCCCTCTATTTTTAGAAGCTATAAAGGTATCTTTTAGATATAAAATTTGGTTCATAGATTCAAACCATGTGATTAGAATCATTTTCGATTTATGTGTATTTTTTGTGAGAGAAAATATTGTAGCGAACCACGAACTATAATTCAAATCAGGGAACGAATCTAGATACCAATCGGATAAAGCAAAACGGTATCTCCTAGTCCTATTCGAGTAACTTCATGAGTCTCTCTCTTAAGCTCGTTTAATTGAATTTATTGCTAGCTTTTACTTTTTAGTGGCAACAGGCAAATGTGCTACATGGATTCTTTATAAAAAAGGGGTACGCTACATAGAGGTAACTCTTTTTTTTTTTTTTTTTTGATAGGACATAGAAGATACAATATGTATATACATATATATATATATATATATTTTTTTTTTTTCATTTATCAACATAGTACTAGCATTAACGATATAATTAATCGTAACACGTCTAAGCGTGCAATAGCATTACTTCAATTTTCGTTTAGCTGAGACTATGTCATATATCCTTGACACTTACTAGTATTACAGGGAAAACTATTTTAAGCTGTATGTTATTAGTTAGCCTTCTTATATATTCACGTGTTCAACTGGAAATAGCAAGAAAAAAACAACAAATGATAGAAAGTATACCATGTATTGAGTATCACGAAAAATTATATAATGAACATCATAAAAGCACATCCTTGACTGTTTTGTTCCAGCTTTTTTACCAATGGCAGCTTATACTTTTGTTTTATGATGTATAATTGATTATAACTGAAATTTATGTAAAAAGATCAAACCTTTCAGCTAGTAAACCATCAATGACAAAGATATTAGACAACTGCACAAGTTGCTGTTTAAATTATCCAGGCCGTAGATTTGGCAAATAATGACACAAGTTTGTCTGCAATTGTTTCAATTGACAAATAATACAAAATGATTTATAAAACTGCAAAAGAAGCTGGAAGGTAATTGAAGTTTGATTGGACTTTTTTTTGCTCTGAAAAGTTTGATTCGACTTCAGCGCACTTGGTGTTGAAGCAATGTTTCAGCAGTAGTAGTAGCAAAAAGGAAGACCATTTGGCAGAAAAAATATCACTTGAAAATAAACGTAAATGGGAGATATAAAGCAAGGCACTTAATAGAAAAAGAATCCAATGCAAACTTTACCTCATAGAGTCATGACTTTCTTGTGAGAAGTAAAGTTCAATGTGATCATCAGCATTTCATGATGGAAGTATTTTTCTTACAAATTATTTGATTCGTTCTTTCGAGAGACCCTCCTCCCAATTTTAGAATCTTCCTCCCAGGGATCTAACAATGTAACATAAATAGCAGTGTATTCAAACAATAATACTTTGATGAAAATGGTGAGAATCTGAAAAAACAAACAAAAAAAAATCACATAACAATACCTTTTTCTTTTGCTCACTTATCTTCGATCTGCACTCAACTGTTTTCCTTTCGATGCATTGAACCTCAGCTGACACTTTTGACGAACTTAACAACCTCTTTCTCGAATAAGATTCGGCTTGGAGATTGTCATTTCATTCTAGATATTCCACCAGGAGTTTCACTTTTACCTCATCCAAAAATCTGTACTATATCTGACGCTTCCCAATGGAATCCACTGCAATCTCTATAAGTTCTTCCCGTTTCTTGGCAACTCATCATACCACTCATTAGAGCTCCCTATACAAGTGTATTTCAATTTGATGTCTTTTCTCCATCTATCTAGAATATATTTTGACCGAATCTCCTCAATACATTGATCTTTGAGGACAGCAGTAACATGTTTACACAAAATTCCTTTAGATTCAGATAAATAGCATATGCATTGCACTTCGCATTCTGTAGCCTTGTAAAGAACCTCAGACCTTCAACTTCCTGGAATTCTCGTCTCTCTCTCACATTTTCTCTCACATGAAATTTTGAAATTGACCTCTCGCCTGTAACAAATCCAACATTGCAATAGTATAATCCCTGTAATTAATTGTCTTGGACTTTCTTAATATCTCAATGCTATAGGCTTCTTGCAATTAGTTTGCTATTAACAAAACCCTCAAATTCGAAAAGCTATGGTGACCAAGTTTTCATTCTCAATCTTGCTTCTTAATCCGCTGTCGTATTGCTTCACGAATTTTTTCAGAGTAGTATTTGGTTGACATAACCATCGAAGAAAGAATTCAGCCTTTCACCGCATTGGCTGGTAGACATTCCTCCCCAAAAGTACATGTCCTTCACATAAGTTGGTACCTATCGATCCACATACGAAGAGTTCAACCATTCATTATTATCAAGGTTATTAACCTCAATCATTTTAGACTAACTTTCTTCAAAATCTAATTGTGTCATGCAGTCGTATACGCTATCCACCAAAAAACTACTATAGTTGAATTATGATCAAGAACTCCATTCAACTTTACTGGTATCTTCATCGTAATATAGCACAGGCCCACAAGCAAAATCCATGGAGAACTTTACGAGATACCTCTGCCACAGTTCCTTTAATAGCCTTGCATCGTTCAGTTATTTTTTGCGCTTGGAACTCCATTTAACATAGGACTTTCTGTCCTCACTGGATAATACTCCACAACCAAACAATAAAAGTTGCCTATGATTATTTGTTCCAACAAAAACATCAAGAGGTATATTATACTTATTTGTAACTTGTAAGGTATGTAGTGTCAACTGTGATGACATCTCTAAACGATTCATAAGCTGCCCTTGACCTTTCATCGGCCAAAAAGACATTTTTTAGCCGGCTTTCATTGTCAAACTCCATCTTATAGAAAAAATTCGAGTTCTACTTTTTATTTTGAAGAAAATAGGTATAGACAGGTCATGTCCAACACCAAGTCTTGACTGTCTCACCTTTTTTATATAATTCCAATACTCAGTCTAACCAATATTTGAATTCTCACAACTCGCAGCTTCAACAACCAATGCTCTATAGGTTACGGTCAATGGAACATTAGCTTGGTCATTCGATCCAAATGCTGGTGCTTGCGTGCCAATTCAACCTTTGTTACATGTAAAAACCATTGCCTTCATAGGACTTAAATGCATGGTTGTGCTCAAGCTTGACGCTACTTGTAGTATAGCAACCGTGACACTCTTTGCGACCCGTCTTAGCTGATGATCTTTGTCTTTTACTCGAAACATATTTCCTACTTCCAACTTTAGCACATGAATACGTCACATGTTTTAACCTGTTATTGTCGTCCAACTTTCTAGTTTTTCTTATCACATCAAAGCCTTCGCAACTCCCATATCTCTTGTACTAATCATAAGCTTCATAATCCGAGTTGAACACTGACCGATCTTTCTTATGTGTTTCTACTTCTTCGTGCTAATTTGATGTATCTTGATCAAAGTATTTCACTTCTTGTTCTTTCTCACTAGTATTATCTTGGTCCAAACATGGATTAGTGTTATTTTCCACTCTCATTATTTCTATGATATCGTCTATTTCCTGAAAGGGAAATACATGACCCCTGTGAAACCATTGGCTTATTCTTAACCAAATTACATTAGTGTTCAAAAAGTAATCTAATTGATATGCATTCCATTGTGTTCAAACGAGGTGAAGATTTCAAACTATTGCAAAAGTGAATTTCCATTTATACTGGACTGTGCCAATCCAAAATCTGTAAAGTAATTTTTTGTTTTTACTTTTTCGTGTTGTTTAGTTAAAACTTAAAACCTCCTTGCAAGTGTAAAATAGCCATCGTAAATTGGCAAAACTTAGCCTTGACTCTCATGTAATAAACAAAAACGACGGAGAAAACCTAATTGCATCGCTTTTAATGAATTTGCTAAAATAACGAGGTCTCATTGGCCAAATTACAGAAACTCAAAATATGACAAAAAGAAATACGGTCTAATGATTAAACCTTAACACCAGAAAATAAATCTGATTAGAACAGAGAAGAAATGGGAAATTACCAGCAACAGTCATCAGACGACAAGTACACTTTCATTGACTTGGCTGTCGTTTCGGTGAAAAACGACACAGAATGAGAGTAACACCTTTTTGTTAGATCTTTAAATTCTTATTCCACATTTTAAAAATCATCACACTAAATTACTAAGAAAATAGGTTAAAACAAATATCTATCTCCATTGGTGCTCCCTTAATCTCCAGTAGAAATCTCTAAGACAACGAGCACGTCGAGTTATTGTCTTTCTCAGTCTACCAGATTCTTGAATGGGTGTTCTCTCTCTAGATGGGGAAGAGAGAAAACGACCGAATGATTTGACGTATTGGAGATCATAACTTAAGTTTCTTTATATACTGTCCTA